ACCATAAAGTTCATGACAGTACAATTAGAAAAATATGGGACAAGTATGGCATGTTTGGAAGGCTTGCCAGAAAAAAAGCCTCTTCTATCTAAAAAGCATGGCAGCACATTTTAGGTTTGCAAAGTTGCATCTAAACAAACCATAAGACTTCTAGAACAATGTCCTTTGAACAGATGAGACCAAGGTGGAGATGTTTGGCCATAATGCCACGTTTGGTGAAAACCTAAAGAGCATTTCAGCACAAACACCTCATACCAGAAGTCACACATGCTGGTGGAGGGGTGATGATTTTGGGCTTGTTTTGTAACCACAGGACCTGGGCACCTCACAGTCATTGAGCCGACCATGAACTCCTCTGTATCCCAAAGTATTCTAGAGTCAAATGTGAGGACATCCGTCCAACAGCTAAAGCTTGGCCAATATTGGGTCATGCAACAGCACAATGATCCCAAGAAAACCAGCAAATCTACAACAGAACGACTGAAAATAAAAGAATCAAGGGCATAAACAAATGCCCTCAATCCTCAATAAACTAGACTAAACGTTGTAAAGAAGAGTGGGACGAAAGTCTTCCAGAATGATGTGAGAGACTGATTAAGTCATACAGAAAATGATTAATTCAAGTTATTGCTGCTAAAAGTGGATCTACAGGCAATTGAATCATAGGGTGTCCTAACTTTGTCACACATGGTTTTTCCATTTTGGCTTAATTTTTGTTAATTAAATAATAACACAGTGTGATAAATGTGATGTTGTTCATCTGAGGTTTTATTTTCCAAATTTTAAGACCTGTCAAGGACCAGATAATTTTTTATGATGTCCTCCTGATACAGAAAACCATGGAATTCAATAGGGTGTCCTAACTTTTTCATGACAGTATATATATATATATATGTATAATAAAATATAAACACATTAAATGTATAATCATCATTGGTCTTATTAATTATCACAAACATAAAAATTATACTATAATTTATGAAAATGGTCATGGTAACACAAAGGTTAAAATATCATTTATAAATTTTGTCAAAAGATGTCAAAATATCATAGACAAAATTATTTATGTCTTAAAAATTCATAAAGATAAATTATGTATTCTAGGTAACACTTTATAACATATAAATTATAACATAATTTAGATACAACATTAAAACAAAAGTCCTGCAAGGAGTCATTGATGTACGTACACACACACACACACACACACACACACACACACACAAACACACACACACACACACACATATATATATATATATATATAGGATGTCAGGTTTTGTTGGTGTAACTTTAAACATTAAGTTATTTGTAGTAATTCAAGTAATTTGGATAGGATGACGCTGTTCTTCTAACATGCTGAAGCCAACACTTACATGTGTTTGTGACTGCAGAAACTGTGACGGTGCACTTGTGGGGTCAATTACATCCAATTTCCATGTAAAATCCAATGAAGTTTAGATTACCTGGAAAACAGTGCTATCGCCACGTTATCTTTGACTAAACAACTCTTTTGTGCTGTGACAAGGAGAACTCCTGCTTTTAGCAGCTCTTTCTTGGGAACGGTGTCAATATTTAACAGAGAAATAGTTACTTTCTTGCACTGATCGGCTAGCCGGTTGCCTCTCGAGGAAACGTCTGCAAATATACAGTCTTTGTACACACAGTTCACTCTAAAAATCCCTGGAAAATATGGAGTGACTCAAATTGTTGACTCAGAATTTCCATGCTTTGGTGCAAGCTAAAAAAACATGGAGGGGACAAGAAAAGCTGTAGAAATGGAAAATGGACTGGGCAAATTGGGAGTGGAACTTTCCAAATCAGGTGGCAAAGACAAAACACTTTCAAAGAAAAACGCCTGAAAATGTACACAACAAAAATACTTATAAATTCAATATTATGATGCAAAATTCTTGCAAACACTGTTGGATTAAAAAGTGAATCTTCTAAACAACCAAACAAACAATTTCCATACAAACACCAAATACACTTGGATTATCTGTATATTTTCAGAACATTAGAAACCAGAACTCCATTTAGGATGTGGGTTTACTAAAGGTTTGAGAGGTTGCCAGGTTGTGGGTGTGTGACCTTGATGATGGGTGTTATTATCTGTTCTGCACATGATTGGCTCATTTTGGGGCAGAAATAAAAGAGTGAAGTTGTTGTAGAAAACAAACACTGTTTTGTTTTGTTTTTTTAATGAAATCATATTTCCCAAGTCCTCTATCAGACATTACCAAAAAACACACAGAACAGGAATTAAAGCTATGCTTGCTTTTATTTCTCACTTTTTAGGAGACAATCCATTCACCCCTGATGCAGCACAATGTTGTAAAATGATATTAGTGGAATTTTGTAGTGGCAAAGAGATCATATCAGACTTACTACCCTAGATATACCATGTCTTCAAGGAAGACGACGAATAATATTGACAATAGTATACTGGATCTTAGAGATGTTGGCAGAATTACCTTTTATGCTGATCTGAGATCAGCTTCCCAATGATTTAAGAATTTCTGTTAGATTGGTTTATTAAATTAAGTCATATTAAATAAGGAACTTCTTAATTTAAAAATAATGGCAAAATCAAGCACCAACCTGTAATCATTTTTAGCGCAATGCTTTTTAGATAATACTATTCGAATGCTTTAACTGAAAGACTAAGCATAGAGAGAAAATGCAGGAATTTAGCACCCAAGAACAATGGTGAATAGAATACATTGAGCGACCCATTCTTGAAGGGATAAAATTATGTATGTTTCATTAAACCAAAATAGAAAGGTCAGATTAGTGAGGAACTTCAGAGGAAAATCCAATTTTTCTTATAATCTCTCCACAAATAGCAGTAAGGAGAGAATAAAAAGCTTCTGACCTAGTACGTCTTTTTTTTTTTTTTTTGGTCTGTGTCAAAAATTACGATTCAGTATAGAATCAAATATTGTCCGAATACGACCAATCAGCATGCAGGTTTATCACGACGCCCTCCTGAGGTAGGGTTAACACAGGCCAATACTTCTTGACCATATGCAACAAAAGCTGAAACAAACCATGCTGCTAAATTACCTCTTGGTTCAGAATGTGCAATAAAATACTAAGCCGGTGGTATATTTTATTTGCAAAGTACGCACCCTTAAATGTTGGGGAATGGCGAGGACCCATTTAAGCAAGTTTGAGCTTTTAAATTAAAAGTTTTTTTTATATACACTGCCATTCAAAATTTAGTATGTTAGGGGTTAGTATGTTTTTCCAATATTTTTGAAAGTCTCTTATGCTCAGCAAGGCTGCATTGATTTAAAAAAAAAATCAAAAATAGAGCAAAAAAGTTGTGAAATTTCAAACTGTTTTCTATTTGATAATATATTCAAATGTAATTTATTCCTGTGATGAGGTGAATTTTCAGTAGCCATTTCTCCAGTCTTCAATGTCACATAATCCTTCAGAAATCATTGTGCTGCTTAATTATGTTTGATGAAACTGCACTACATTTTTTTTTCAGGATTCTTCAAAGTTCAAAAGAACAGAATTTACCTGTAACGGAAATCCTTTGTAACATTATTAATATCTTTACTGACACATTTGTTCACTTCAATGTGTCCTTGCTGAATTAAAGTATTTAACAGTCTAACCCCAAACTTTCAAATGGTAGTGTATATGTTGAATACATTTTTTGTTTGAAAAATGGCTTTAAAAGGGCTTTTTTTTTCATGTAATTTTTCAGTAGGTATTACGTTATCATGATGACATGTATTGGGGTATACAGTATATCATATCGCAAGGTATTTGCCAGTTCCCAGCAGTTCCTTGGGCAACCATGACATCAAATGATCATCTATGACTACAGTACAAAAATATAACATGGATAATGAGCAAATAAAACAGTCAAAAAGCATACAGTTTCAAACTCCCATGTCTCAAACACAGGATGCAGAACATCTCAGACACCTGCTGCAATAAAAGCATAGCTCACCCAAAAATGAAAGTTCTGTCATCCTTTACTCATGTTACCCTCATGTTGTTTCAAACTCATATGGTTTGCTTTCTTCTGTGGAACATAAAAGAAAATGCTTCAAACATCAATTAACATCCCAATGAGGTTTGACATCAGTGGATGATTGTGCCACCATAGTTAATGTGGTCTGTGTTTGTGTGCTTTGATCAGTGATTGGAGAGTAAATAATCCTTATTTAGAATATGCCAGATGAGTCGTATGGATTTATTTCATGTTAAAAATAAAAATAATTTGTATGTTTTCACAAAAAACCCTTAATATCCATGGAACCTTTTCAGTTCTTTATAGTGGAAAAATTATCTTTAGAGTAATAAAATGTTCTTCACACTAAGAAAAAATAGTTCTTTTAAGAACGGTTCACTGAAAGGTTCTTTGGGGGACCGAAAAGGGCTCCTTTATGGAATCACTGCAAAACTCCTTTTGGAATTTTTAAGAGTGTACTTTTTGAACACCATTGACTTCAATATATGGACAAAGACAGCTGCAGGATTCTTCAAAATATCTTCTTTTATGTTCTACAGAATAAAGAACATCGAGTTTAAGGTTGAGCTATTCATTTTTGGGTGAACTCTTCCTTTAAAAGTGACGCATGGTCACACCGTGAGGCGTCCTGTTTATCTGATGTGCATATTACAGGTAGAAACCCACAGATGTCAGTGCAGGCCAATGCTCCTCACAGATACTGCTCAGTCGCTCATTAAAAATTGACTGTAGAATATCTATCTACAGGCCATAAACTTGTTAAGTGCGCAATGAAGGACACTTAACACTGTTATGATATTCTGAATAGTTCAGCCAGAAATTTACATTCTGTCATTATTTACTCACCAAATCTGACAACAGAAAATTGAATATGTTTGGAAAAATGTTGATGTTGACAATGAAAGTCAATGGAGTACAGTGTTCTTTTGGATCCCATTGACTTTCATTATATGAACAAAAATGGAATTGGAATGGAAATGGAATCTTCAAACAGGTTTGGAACTTCATAACGGTGAGTAATTAATGAAAAGATTTTTTTTTTTGTGTGTGAACTATCATTTTAAAGTAATCCTTGGGCACAAGATGAGGGATCCCAGGCAAATGATCCTAAACGGGACATCAGCACCCCATTATCACTGGGTCTATGATCCATAGAACCTCAGCACTTATGGTCAACATTGTCCATCTGGTTCTATACATTATAAGTGTAGTCTGTCAGGTAATCCTTCAGCCGGTTCGGCAAAGGCAGTTCTTGTACCCGCCGTGTGGTTTTGTTGATGGCAATACGACACAGATGCTGCAGAGATGGTGTGGCTGTGTACACCGGAGTCGTGAGCAGCAGCTGCACAGTGCCATTGGACGGGGCGAGAGGGGTAGTCCTGCCCTTACAAGACGTCCGGGACAGCTGCACATAGTGCTCCACGAGATGGACGACGCTGTCGAACTGCTTAAGTTTGGGTTTGACCAGCACCACGGAGTCCAGCTTGAACTTGCCATCCTTGTATTCGATTCGCAGGTTGGTGGGTCCCGCAGATGTCATGGCGGAGATGGTGAAGAGGTAGTCCCTCTGAGAGCTGTCTCGGACCAGAAACGTCCCCTCCGACGTGTCCTGCAGGATCTCCTTGGCTTCATTGGCTGTCAGGCTGCCCCAATACCAGCCTGCTTCCAAGAAAAGAAGACACAGAGATGGTCATATACGTATCCTCTTCCACAGTATCTGTTTCAGTTGCTTGCTTGTGTAACATGAGACCCATAACGTGTCCCTCTAAAGACACACTCACAAAAACTGTCACAGCTACAGTCATATCCTGGCTGTTCGGCTGTTGTTTTATCAGGCGTTTTCTGAGTCACTGCGGAGATTTTGGCTTTCAGAAGAGGACGGACGCATCATGTCTTTCAACCTCTCAACTGTGCCCTGATTTAAAGAGCTAATTCACATCTGATAATGCAGCAGAAACCAAGCACTTCCAAAATGAGCTGTTAAATGAATGTTAATTGAAAACATTATGGCAACTGTGGCGTAGCAAGACTAAACAAGGCGGCAGAAATGTCAACATAAATGACATATTTTCCCTGAAATACTGAACTAGACCATCTGACTATTCGTCTTGGGAGTATCTGACATATTTGATGGAGGATGCTTGATAGATGTTCCCAAAAGCTGCTCCCATTGTTTTTCTCAGCAACAAACAAACCTAAAAATGGATCTTGCTGCAGCATCATAATGACTTTATGTTGTGTTTCTCTTTTATACAGTGCAGTGCTGGACTAAATTTGCTCATGCACTTGAAACCAGAAAGGGATGTGACAGAGACGCAAACCATTGAGGACAAATGTTCCAGCCAGACCAGGAAATATAACAAAAGCTTCATAGACATGATAATGTCACTCTTTTGTTGCACAAAAAGCAAACAGAAAATGTAAACAGTAAAAGCTTTGTCAGGAAATTCGCATAGTTCCAACTTATATTCACTCGCATACTTCATATCATGGTCAGAAAGGGGGGCTTGTGGGACAAATGCCACAGAAAGTGACAAAAATGCCCCCAGAATTCATGTGGAATGTAGGAAAAAAATGCAATTGCAAAAACTTTTGTATTTGTAATGTCTGATATTGTTCTTTTTTGATGTTTAATTAATCTTAATTACACTTCATACATTACATCTAATTATTTGGATTAATTAATGTATTAAATTCAAATACTGACATACAACAATGAAAAACTGTATAATTTAATAGAAAATAAATGGATTCATAAAATAAAAAAACATGCCCCTGGAAATCCAAACATGGTGAAAATTGCCCCTTAATGTAAAAAATAATTACTGGATTTACATAGCCTATACTTTTTTCTTGACATTCACTTCTCTGATATTTTCATTATTATCTTCTGCTCAAACAACAGCCCCGAAACAACACACCAGATGCAAATTGTCACACAAATGAATAAAAACATTAACAGCAGTCCTGAAACAACATTTTCAACTATTTGACATTCATAAAATGAAATCATAGCTGCTTTGAATATATCAACAAACTCATGCCAAAAGCATGATATAGTGTAGACCTGCTGCTAGTTTGATTTATGATATTAAAGTACACTCAAAACGACCTTTAAACATTTTATTGAAATTTTATATAGAAGGTTGATCTTTTTAAAATCGACTGTTATCACTTTTAACATCAAATTTGACGCATTATGATAATTATGTTTTAACTATATGAATCACTGCCTGTGGCTGTGTTGCATACAGCATGAATTCAGTGAGAGTTACAGAAGCAAATGAAGAGAATATGTAAGTGAAACGAGCAGTAAACGTTTACCAGTGTTTTTAAGGTCTCTCATGGCAGTGGCAATGCGACTCTGTTCGGACTCCGCGACTTGGGTTTCGGTTTGCGATCTCCTTTCATTCTCGATGCTTTCCGTGGAGTCGGATGAGTGACAGGTCATTGGAGAACGGCGTTCTGCATCCAGTCAATGTCTATAATTATCCTTCAAAGACGACTGACTCTTACAATCGACCAAAACATGCGAGAAGTCTTCCACAGCGTCCGTGGATTTTGTTTGGCTGCGGATCTGAAAACACAAACATGATTTTTAACCCTGTTTTGTTTCACGCTTTTTTGTGTTTTTTTTTTTAAACCCTGATATAATATTTCCATATTTGTCAGCTGCATAAAACCGTGTAAATTGATGTGAAGTAGGCCTACAAGGAGTGCCGGTACTACAATCTTCCACATTACCTGAGAGTAGCTAGGCCTACTAATAGAAAACGTGGACATGCATGCATTTATGCATTTATAGTAGGCTATAATCAAATTTACTCATCCCACGTCACCCTCATTTAATTTGAATCATTTAATTCAATAAGGCCACCGTATAGGAGACGTTAAAACGCGTTTAAAATAACAAAAACAAGAAACAAATATGCAAAAACATGAAACAGCTAAACGAAAGAGTGTGTTAGTCACTCACACAATTGTGGTAAGCATAGCAACACTGTCCTGTTTTGTTCAATATTTGTGTCTCCAGCAGAATGGAAAATGTTACATCCCTTCCCGTCTACTCAGACATGGTATTTATAGTTTTTTTAAACACATAAATAAAAAGCTTGTGTGAACGTTATATAGCTATCACACTAAACAGTAATGATACCAGTTCTGTCATTTAACATTCATTATAGTCATTTAACGGTTTCATATCTGAAACTGAGTTGTAGTCTTAAGACAGAAACGAAATTTCTCGTCTTACCTTAAAATTGTTTTTGTCCTGGTGCTCACATATGATATTTCACCCCTGTAGCTCATTTCTAATTGGTTAGTTGAAATACTCTCATAAAGTGATAAATGAAAGTGGCCATTTTGTGTTAATCTCCATTGACTAATCCAAAGGTCAGCTACTGTTATTTTTTCTGTTGTTGTTTTTAATTGGATGAAAGAGCGAAATGACAATCTTCATAAGCCTCATTAACATTACAAACGTCAGTCTTCTGTGTGAATGGCTCATTGCGCACGTGTATGAGGAATAAAAACAAAGGCTGCCATTGAGAGACGGCAAAATACGCAGAACTGCCTTTACTAGGAAATTGCATTGACAGCTCCTGGTAAATGATAGTGTGACAGATAAGACAAACGAGTGTATTTTCTCCTGAACGTGTAAATGAAGATACGTTACTTCTAAATGCACGAATTATTTGATGTAGCTGCTATATGAGACATAATGAATCAGAGGAAATAAAGCAGAATATATTTTGAGCATTAACTTCAGCCTGAAAGGTGACAGTCGGAGAAAGCGCACAGCACTTACCTTTTGTCTAAGTGAAAGCAATAAGCAATCAAGTCCAGCGCGTTTCACGTTACAGACGTTCAATGGCACCATGATTTAGACCCATCATTTATTATTAATGGGAAACACTGATCGGCTCACTGTCAAACGACCAGGACTCCCTGATGCTCAGCAGATCGGGACGCGTTTTTCCGTGTATTTGCATTGATTCTTTCGGGAGCGACTAAAACATCTGTGATGGGCATGTTTTTTTTTTTACAGAATCTGTTGTAGAATCTGTACAGGTTTTAAAGAAATTTACAGTTGTTACTTTTCGAGATATGTGTGTTACAGAACTCCTCTGAGCCAGTCACAGCATGACAAGTGCCACCTTAAACCAGGAATGTATTGCCTACATTATAACAAAACAAAATATAAGAAGCTGTATAATTTTGACATTTGGGTTTGTGTAAAACCCCAAAAACCACAATAAACTACCTGAATATCCAAAACACAGATGACAGACAGACAGACAGATAGATAGATAGATCCTTAAATCTTATCCTTGTATAAAGACAACTGTGGATTAAAGGGCTATAGTTCACCCTAAAATGAAAATTATGTCATAATTTACTCACCATCATGTTGCTCCAAACTTGTGTGAGTTTCTTTTTTCTGTTGAACACAAAAGAAGGTATTTTAAAGAATGTTGGTAACCAAACAGTTGACGGTAGCCATTGACTTCCATAGTATTTATTTCTATATGGAAGTCAATGGCTACTGTCAACTGCTTGCACAATCCATTTAACACAGTGCTCAGAGCTGACTGTAAGTCTGATGCCTCAGATGACCTTGCTCACACTCTTATGAAGACAATTGGTATGCTTGTTAGTTTTATGGATGGGTCATGTTACTTGTGTTTATAAACCAATTAGTTGCTGCTTTAAAACAAATAAAATTGTGGTCGAGCATCCTCTTCTTTAGATACAATTAGGAAGAAGCTCTTGGCAGATTAGGCTCAGATGACACATGGGCCTGTGTCCTCAAGCGGGTTCAATCATCATTGATGTGTGCTTGGCTTGGCACACATTTCAGTCATAACGCTTATATGTCAAAAGTCAAATGAGCCCAAATTTACCTATGTATGCGTAATAGCTGTCAATGTGCTAAGGGTTCACTAGTTCACATGTTCTGGACTACTGGTGGTCTGAATTTAAGCCTCTTTCAGCAGTTCTCCAGCGCATGTTACAAGATCCTCTCGTAGCATTATTTAGTGTTTCCCCAGAAGACTCATGGTTATCAGCATCAGTGGGTAAAGTACTTGCTTTTTCTTCCTTGTTAGAATGCAGAGTAATACTACTAAAGTGGAAGGATGCTGTTCCACCCATTTACATCCAGTGGATCAGAGATATAATATCTTGCCTCCGCCTTGCAAATATCAGATAGACTAATCATAAAGAGGATCTGAAAAAAATGTTTTTTTAAAGATCTGGCTCCCCTTCATTAATTATTTAGATTGTTCTAAATAATACACTATTATTGACTAAATATCCCTGTTAAGCCAAATGGATGCAAAACCAGTTTATTTGTTTATTTATTGGCATGTATACATGTGCATAACTGAGTGAATGTGTGTACATATTTATATACATTCATTTTTTCAATTATCTTATGAAAATGGTCAGCATTACAGTAATTGAAAAAAAACTTGCCCCTTTTAGACTTGCACTCTATTTATTTACTAACTGCTTGTTCCCTTTCGATACTACACTCGTACTGCGTCTGCTAGACGCATATGGGAAAAAAGCCTTTTTCTCCTGAACTGAAGCCTTTTCATTCACACAGTGAAACTGCACGGCCATTGGTTCGTGCAGTGTATTAAAAACGCCACAGGATTCTCAGATTTCTTCTCCTTCAGCGACGACTCTACGTCTTCAAGTTGATCCGAAGCCGCTCGCCGTTGACACGCCTTCACAGCTGGAATCGGGACCTCTCTGACCTGATTCTCCGCCGCTCCAGCGACACAGCAGTTCCGGTCCGTTTCCCCTGCCACCATCCGGCGATATTAAAAGAGCTTCTAAAAGAGCAAAAAAATGTCACGCCGTGTGGGTCTCCCCTGCACGCCCATGACGGCCAAACGGAGTGCGTTTTCTGCTTGGGGAAATCACATGCGGAAGCTGCGCTCACGGGAGCTATTTGTTCCCACTGCGAGAGCTTCAGTCTCGCCTCTCTCCGCTCACGGATCGCTTTCTTTTCAGAGAGCGACTCCGCCCCTCGCACCCTCCCGTTTCCTTCCTCCCAGGGACCTGTGAGGAAAAAACAGCGGGGCAGAGGGGTCGAGCGTCCGGCTGCGAGCGAGCCCACGTCGGCCCAGATCCCGCGTACCTTGCTCTCCCCCCAGAGAGAGTATTCCCCCGTCCTTTTCTCCCGGTCTGATCAGCGTCCCTCTGCTGGTGCAAGCGACCTGATCTCATTCGGGGGAAGTGGAGACGAACTGCTCAATGACAGCATGTCATTGGCAGCATCGGATGCAGAGGAGCTGCTGGGCTCGGAGAATGACCACCAAAGACGGGACGGATACCGAGCTTCTCCGTATCCTCTCCAAGGCGGTCGAAGAGCTGGGAGAGCTGGGTTTAGAGTGGTCTACGCCAGAGGAGCCCTCTCACGGGCGGCTGGATGAATGGTTCCTGCAGGGGCGCCGCCAGGCCCTTCGTCAGCGTTCCTCTCCGTTCCTCTCCTCTCCGCCTCCGTACTGCTTCTTCATCCGCCCTCACTTCCATCGACGGCACTGAAGAAAAAGGGTACGATAAGCCACCTCCCCTAGATGAGTCAGTGGCCGCGCAACTCTGCCCGCCCACGGCCATCGGCTGGAGAGCAAAGCCCGCTCACCCATCCAAGCCGTGTAGGACAACTTCAGCTCTTGCTGGACGCGCCTACACTTCAGCTGGACAGGCGGCTTCGGCCCCAGATAAGATCCCCTTCCTTGACACTCCAGTCTCTCCCAAGGGTCTCTTCGGACTGGCGGTCGAAGGATTCGCTGAGCGCTTCACAGAGGCACAGAAATCGTCCCAAGCTATGCAACATTTCCTGCCTAAGCGCTCCAGCTCCGCTGCTGCCTCTGCTCGCCCTAAGTCTGCGCCAACTCAGCAGCCCGCGAAACCAGGACCTGCCGCCCCCGCCATTCAGCCCGCTAAAGCGCAGCAGACGCGGGGACGCTCTCACTCAGCCAAACGCTACCCTCTTCCTAAGCGCCAGGGACCCCGACCCAAGATTGCATTGGACCTGGCACCTCAGGCGTCATCCTGATCTGCGAGACAGGAAGAGGACGGGGTCAGATTTCGCTACGGCCGGACCGCCCCTCAAGCAGCCTCTCTTACACCTCTTGACACCCTGTTCAACTCCGGGTACAGAGGGAAATGTGTTTTGTGCAAACAACGGGTCCGCCTCGATCTCAGACACCTGAATCACGCCCTCATGAAGAGGTTGTTCAGGACGATTACACTGAAACAGATCCTCGCGCAAATGCATACTTTCAGATCCAGATAGACCCCCGTCACAGGCGATTCTTGAGATTCGCCTTCGAGGGAGTGGCTTATCAATACACGGTCCTTCCCTTTGAGCTGTCCCTGGCCCCCCGCACTTTTACGAAGTGCATGGACGTGGCTCTCTCCCCTCTGAGACAGATGGGAATCCGCATTCTCAATTACCTCTGCGACTGGCTCGTTCTGGCCCAGTCAGAGGCAGAATTAATATCACACCTGACC